ACTGGCTTCTCTTTGTTCCTCGCATAGGTCAGGGCATAGCCTGCCTAATTAACTTGCAAACGGCCGAGAAAGTGTATTAAGTGTGATGGGGGTGGTATATAAGCAGTCCACTTTGTAATTTTTTCACTCCATCAGCAAAAATGTTGGTTGGCCGTACACAAAAAAAGCACCTCATAATATAAATCAGTAGATCTGGGGAAGTATTGTATGGTTGTTGTGGGTTTTTCGGGCTCTTTGGCCGTGATCTGAAGGTTGTTCAGAGCCTGGCTCCCAGCACTGAAAAATACAGCCTGCGAAAGGTCAACAAATTCTACCCAGCCACAAGGACTGCACACAAAAGACCAGCTAACGACATCCATCAATCACACTGACAGATCATCTCTCCCTCTCATCACAAGAATACACCCACAAGATAAAACATGCTGGTCACCATAATCACCCAATCTCCTGAAAAGGACAAAAGCTGATCCCACAGCTATAAACACTCAACTATCCAAACAAACTGCAGCAGAGCAGAGACAGCGTTCTGATTTCTTTTCCTCTGAAGATGCCAGCCACAGAGACCAGCGAAACTTTGGGAAGAACCACCTTCAGAACACGGCCAAACAGCCCGGAAAACCCACAACAACCATTACATCCAAAAGGTCTGAAGTAAGCCTGTCACTCTTAAAGACAATCGGAAAAAACAGCCCGGAAAACCCACAACAGCCATTAAATCCAAGCGGTCTGAAATCAGCCCGTCACTGGTAAAGACAATCGGGAGGGAAAGAATTTCATCAGTCCAGGGGAATTTTGTAGAAACATGATTCTGTGTGGGTAACAAGCTGGCTGTGCTCAAAGCGTGCCCTGGCCAATTCTTTGGTGGTGCCTGTTTCCAGCTTTAAAAGTCCCCCTTTCAGAGCCAGAAATTCAGACGGCCGGCCTTTTCTCCTGGCGCTGGCGGCCATCCTGTCCAGTGTCTCTTGGCTTGTTTTGAAAGAGTCTATAGTCTGGTACAGGCGTCTCCGAACTGCTGCTTCCAGATGTGCTGACAAGCCCCATCCGATCCTGCCAGCTTCAAATGAGACCTCAAAAGGGCCAGAAAAAAAATGTTTTTTTACCCCTGATGTAAAGGGTTCTATCCTGTTTAGAGCTTTTTTGGCGGAGGAAAAAAGGGGCGAGCATTTTGAATAGGGACCCACACAGTGAGGAGAAAGGTGAAAGGAGAAAGATGTAATGGTTGTTGTAAGTTTTTCGGGCTGTTTGGCCGTGTTCTTTAGGTTTTCCTTCCTAACGTTTCGCCCGTCTCTGTGGCCGGCATCTTCAGAGCCAGAAAGATTTAACTTTCACATCATACTAGAAAATCAGAGGGAACGGGGACAGAACATAAGTGGTGGATGGATCAAGGGAAGTCACAGAACTTAAAACACTGATGAGTGCATTCAGATTATTAGATATGTTTGGGTTTTGTTTTGTTTTTAAGTGTTCGGGATACTTGGATGTCCTTATATAGAGGTCTAAAAGGCTGCAGAAAGAAAAGAGGAAATACGGATGTCTTATTGTCTTTCCGTGTCCCTGCCATTCAGAAAGTCCAGACATCTTCCCTTTAGGTAACCCTCTTGTGTGGTTTCTTCAGAGTGGCCAACTGGTAGTAGCAGTAAATGTTGTGGTCACGTGCTGTCAAATTGCCTCCAACTCACGGATGAGCAACCTCCAAAAAGTCAACCGCCCTGCTCAACTACCAGTAACCTGAAGGTAGAAAGGGACCCTTTTGCTCCTTTTCAGCCACAGAAGGCAACTGAGCTCTCTAGAAGTGGGGGAAAGAAGGATGGAATTGAGGCAATTGTGTTTTGGGTACGTCACAAGAAAAAAGCAATAATGCTGGAAAAAGTTGAAGGCAGCAGGAAAAGAGGAAGACCAAGAATGTGATGGGCTAACTCCCTGAAGGAAAGCACAGTCCTGAGTTTGCAAGAGCTGAGCAGGGCTGTTGAGGATGGGACATTTTGGAGATCTAATGGTTGTTGTGGGTTTTTCGGGCTCGTTCTGAAGGTTAGGAAGGTTCCGTGTTAGGAAGAACAACCTTCAGAACATGGCCAAAGAGCCCGAAAAACCCACAACAACCATTAGATCCCGGCCGTGAAAGCCTTCGCGAATATATTTTGGAGATGGCTCATTCATAGGGTGGCCAGAAGTCGGGGGGCAACCTGATTGCACGAAAGAACAAAGAGGAGCCAGCTTTAGGGTCAACACAGCCTTCCCTCTGTTTAAAGGTTTAAAGTCCCACGGGCGCCAGTGGGAAAGTCAGCCAGGTTTAAAACGTGGCCACGAAAACCAGCAAGGGTGCACAGGAGAAACTGAGCCACGTTTACTTCCAATTGCATGAATCTGAATTCGGTGAGATTAGTTTATGTCCCATCTAAATTTGCTTTGAATCTGACAGCCAGTGTGGTAGTCTGGATAAGAGGGTTTCCGACTAATCCTGAGCCCCATCAGCCCAGCGTCTCTGTGGCACAGCCGTCAACCCCCTGGCGTTACCTTCCTCAGCCTGGCGTCTTCTCTCCTCCCACCCCTGCTCTCCCCAGTAAGAGGGATGAGGAGATGGGCAAGGGTCTACTTCATCCCGAGGGACCGGCAGCTGGATAAAGACTCCTGGTCCAGGGGTCCTCTTCGTATAGGTATGCTCAGCCTTGGGTGGTTCCGGTTTTTCTGGGAGTTCCTCTTAGG